GAGTTCTACTCGCCCGAGAACCACAAGACGTCGGAAGAAGATAGAGAAGAGATAAGGGAGAAGCTAAAGAAAGAGTTGAAGGCAGGAAGGATGTTGGGTCCGTTCACAGAAGATGAAGTGCTGGCGAAAGTAGGATTTTTCAGAACAAGCCCTATGGGAATGGTGGTGAACGGAGACGGGACGACTAGGATCATAAACGACCTATCGTACCCGAAAAGAGAAGAAACAATATCGTCAGTAAATTCCTTGGTAGATAAGAGAGAATTCGAAACTAGCTGGGATGATTTCAAAAAGGTAGCAGGTTTCTTCAGCGAACTCACAGAGGAAGTAGAAGTGGGTATTTTCGACTGGGAAAAGGCCTACAGACAGATCCCTACGCAGCCATGTCAGTGGAGGTATTTAATGATACGAACTCCAGAAGGGTGGATCTTGGTGGACTTACGGGTAACTTTCGGGGGGGTAGCAGGATGCGGGAGTTTTGGAGGACCCGCGGACGCGTGGAGGGCAATAATGAAGGCGAGATTTAATTTCTTGGAGGTGTTTCGCTGGGTAGACGATAATTTGTTCGTGAGAAGGAAAGGAGATGAGAATAAGATATCGATGTTGGAGGTGGTCGAAGCTAGCGCAAAACTAGGGGTGAAGACAAATGAAGGGAAGTACTCGGAATTCGATGAGGAGCAGAAATATATTGGGTTTATCTGGAATGGGAAAGACAGATCAGTGAGGTTACCAGAAGCAAAGAGACAGGAGAGGTTAAATCAAATAGTAGAAGCGTTAGAAAAGAAGGAGGCACATACCTTCGAAGGAATAGAAAAACTGATCGGACGGTTGGTACACGTAACGTACATGCTACCCCAGATGAAGTGTTTCTGTTCAAACCTACACGCACTACTGGCTTCGTGGAAGAACAAGATGGCGATACGGAGACTCCCAAGGGAAGTGAGACTGGACCTTGAGGAGTGGAAAGAGGTATTAGAGAACTTCGAAAACCATAAATTGCTACCGAAGAGAGGTATAAGTAATGTGGGGTGGATAGGAGACGCGTCGACGAGTTATGGAATCGGCGTAATAGTGGGAAAGTGCTGGACGCAACTGAGATACAAGCAGGGTTGGAACAAAAGAGATACCGAAGGCGTGAAGAGAGGTATAGCGTGGGCGGAAACGGTAGCGGTGAGGATAGGTCTTGAGATGGTGCAGATGCTTCACAAGACGAAAGGAAAGCGATTCCTAGCGATAACCGACAATACCGGGACTGAAGCGGTGATACGAAACCTGAAATCAAGAGACAGATCAGTTAACAATGAGTGGAAAAAGTTACAGAAGAGACTAACGTACCTGGGTTGCGAACTAGAGGAGAAACGTGTCGCAACAGGAGATAACACGGCGGATGAACTTTCGAGAGGAATGAGAGGAAATAAATTCATCCACTATTACTTAAGACCGGATTTACCTGAAGATTTAAAGAGCTATATCGAATATGAACCCAAGAACGAGGAAGAACTCAAACAAGAAACAGGGGGAGATCGTTTTTGAAGGATCGGCATTAAGAGAAGGAGGACTAGAGCAGAAGGAGGCGGTGACGGAGCACCTGGTGAAAGGAGCGTGGACACCAGGAACGCTGAAGGGTTACACAAGTGCAGTGAGGAAATTCAAGACCTATATCGAGAGCACGGGAAGGGAGTTCAAAGCCGAGGAACCAATGAAAGCGGAAGATGTGTATGGATTTATAGTATGGGCTGGACCTTCAGAAGTAGGAAAGAACGAAGCACCAGGACGAGAACTGAAATCAAAAACGATAAGCAAGTACATAGCAGGGTTAAAAGCGTGGCACATGGCCAAACATCACGAGGAGCCGAAGTTAGATAAGGTGATGCTGGACGGTCTGATAAGAGCAACCGAAAGATTGGAGGAAAAGAGGGAGCTGTCGAAAGATACAGAGGAAAAAAGAGAGAAGAAGCCGATAACGGTGATGAACCTATTCGAAATGGTGGTCAAACTGAACGGAAAATCAGAGATGCACGACTTAGCGGTGACGATAGCTTTGGTAGCCTTTTGGGGCATGGCACGGCTAGGAGAAGTGCTGAGAGAAACGGCAGAGGAAGGAGCAATAAAAGTGGAGGACCTGTCGTTCGAAAGTGGCAAGAAGGGGAAGATAGCGGTAATAAGGTTGTGGAAGGCTAAGACAGCTAAACCTGGAGTCCCACAATACATTAGGTAAGAGAAGTAACATACCTAAAGGTGGGAAGAGTGAGTAGAAAGACTGACAAGTTTGGAGTAAACAAACAGGCTATACGAACAATACTCCGTATTAGACCCGGTAGGAGCGTTGATAAGATTACTGGCAAAAGAACACGCAGTCGGGAAGAAGGGGAGTGACTTGTTATTCTCGTCGAAAATAGAGGGAGAACGCCAAACCCTATCAAAATTAAGGTTCCTGAAGATGATGGAAGAAGCATGGGGTACGAGCGGAGTAAAAGAGGGGCTTTGGTCGGGTCATTCATTTAGGGTAGGCGGAGCCTCGCTGAAATTCAACATGGGATGGGACAGAGAGCGGATAATGGAGGAAGGAAGGTGGAGGTCGAACGCTGTGGAAGCATACTTAAAGAGGTGTTCAGCTGAGGAAAAAGAAGAAACAAAAGAGTTCCTTTGGGTGATAGACAAACGGAACAGGAATAATAAGTAAGGAGAAAAGAGAAAATGGGGAAACGGAAGGAGAATGAGTGGGGAAAGAAAGGTCACAAGGAAACGAGAGATGACAAAACAAATTGGGGGAATAGATTAAAGTTGTAAACAGACAGAGAGTAGAGTGTGAAAACAAAGAAAGCTGAACAAAATTTGAGAAAGAGAATCCTGGAAATCCTGAGAGAAAGCTGAGCGAAGCCCGCACGAGTTTTGGGGTGCTCAACGAGTTGAGACTCTCACGAGCCTCGCCTAAAGATGGGAGTTATCGCAACCCAAAAAAGGATCGGCATGAGGTAGAGGGATCGGTGAGCGTCAGCGGCGATTATACCGTGACGCAAAAGCCTGCCGATCCCTCGCCCGGGCTCCCCCGAACACAGTTTAACCTCAGCCGTGATTACAGGCCAAGGTTAAACAAACCTCAAAGCGCAAAACTATAAATTTACATTTAAATTGAACTAAGAATGGTTAAGCTACCCGACATTAGAATTACAAAATAAGATAGCTTAACCTCCCTCACAGGTCTTAACCAAAAACGTAAGAAACTGTGAGAATGGATTGTTTGCCTTAACAAAGGCACGACTTAATGGCGTAGTTCCATGATACAGTTTCGAAGTTGGAGGGATAAACCCATAACCACACAAACAGAGTTTGCAAGCGAGAATTTGGAAGTTGTGGTACACAAACCAAAATTCTCCTATTATCCCTTTTCAACTAATCGAAACTTTCACGTATCAATCCATTTGTGGTGGAAAGAAATCTAGTATTTCTTCAACAAAAATTTAAAAACCACCCACCCACCCAGCTGGACGAGGGATCGGTGAGCGTCAGCGGCGATTATACCGTGACGCAAAAGCCTGCCGATCCCTTGCCCGGGCTCCCCCGAACACAGTTTAACCTCAGCCGTGATTACAGGCCAAGGTTAAACAAACCTCAAAGCGCAAAACTATAAATTTACATTTAAATTGAACTAAGAATGGTTAAGCTACCCGACATTAGAATTACAAAATAAGATAGCTTAACCTCCCTCACAGGTCTTAACCAAAAACGTAAGAAACTGTGAGAATGGATTCTGTAAGAAAGGTCACTTTTCTGGTTATGTTAGAGGTAATCATATTGCCTCAAATTTGTCAGAAGTCTACCCTACGTCCCCCTGGTCACACTAGTGTGATTATGTAGTTTGGACGGATTCACATATGTGTGAATCCGTCCAAACATATTCAAATTTAATTTTGAGATTTCAAGTCTTACTACCAAATCACAGTAACAGTCATCCAGCACTGTGATCTAGGTGATCACAGTGATGTGAATCTCTACTTTAGGCGGATTTCTGTAGTTTGGTTGGATTCACATGGAGGTGAATCCACTGAATCATTATTATAAGATCAGTGATAACTTTTCAATTAGATGACTTGGGCATACAAGTCATATACATATGACTTGTAATGTCGGAGATATGTGTATATATTAATCACATTGCACATTGATTTTAAGTTGAATGTGTTTTTTAGGCTGATCATGATAAATATACACATTATCAGATCTAATACCTGGATGTGAAAGTGTCCATATAACCACACCTTTGACAGTATTGGGAAATGTCTGGATCTGAGTGAATTTTTGGAATCAGATAGGTTCTATTACCTTATGGCAATACTTGTTAGCCATGAGGTGTTTACCTGCAAGATGTTACAACTTCTTATCAAGAATGGGTGATTGTCTTTCACACGGGGTGAATGTCATTCACACGGGGTGATTGTCTTTCACACGGGGTGATTGTCTTTCACACGGGGTGATTGTCTTTCACCATGATGTGAATGCGTGATCATGATTCACATGGCCTGAAATGATGGGTACAGCTTGAAATCACCGCTGTGTGAATGTCATTCACACGGGGTGAATGTCTTTCACCATGCTGTGAATGTCAATCACATCAATGTGATTCACATTCATACCAAATTTTGTGAATGCGTAATCATGATTCACATGGCCTGAAATGAAATGAGACCTTATATAGATATTCAATGTGTTATGACCAGTAGGTGATCATGAATCACATTGACATCATTCAAAACAAATCAATACCAATCATTTTGGACAAATATAAAGATGGAAAAAGAGTTAAAACTGAAAACAAAACTATTTTGGAAAAATAGAATAAAGATGGAAATCCATCTTCCATCGGTGTGTATTTTTGAAATGAATGTATAAGATCATTCGTCCTCATCAACATCCTCATCAATATCTCCCAAACCATTCCACTCTTCCTCTGATTCGTCTAAGTCTTCATCCACATCCATGTCAAAGTTGTCATTTTCCTGCTAATCCTGAATATCCTGTGTCATCATCACTAGATCTTCTGTCGCTGAAACACTTTCATCCGCAGTCTCTTCAAGAGGTTCTGAATCTGCTTTGATTTTTTCCATCTTGAACTTATTTGCTTGTACATCCTGCAGCCAAAGGCTTCTACGACTATTCATGGCATTAAAACCCAGTTTCAGGACCTCAGAAGGAAGTTTGGAACCTGGTAGTTGGATAATATTAATACCATGGTCTTCCCGTAACAAAGAAACTGGGTCTGGTCCACGGGGGAAACCTTGTTCCTTCCCGGTCAAGGAACCTGTCATAAATTATAAAAATGTATTTGTTAGATATTGACAAAGATTATCCAGCTATTTCTGATAGCTGTGTACGTACTGAAACTTCCTCGCAGCAACAGTGCCAGATCAGCTTTGAATATATCACCAGGATCGGTTTTTCGAACCTTTCCACCATTTGACATAACATTAGGTCCAACTATTTGAGCAACTGCCTCGGCCACCGAAAGGCCTTGGGCGTGTGCGGCAAATACCTTGCCGAAGTTGCTCTTCTTATTGACATATACAGCCATTGCATCGTGAGACGTGAACTCCCTAGCCCATCCAGGCGATCCGCAGGAAGCCTCAGTTGAAGCATGGGTGCTACAAGCCAAGAGGTAGTATGAGAACTCCATGTTATTGGATTCGTTTTCAATCTATGAAAGAGAACCTTTTTTCAGTTAAGCTATAAAGTTTAGATATTATCTGACAACTTACATCGCTGTGGATCCGCTCTATGCATTTGAGAGATTTGCGGTTGAAATCGGGAAGAGAAGGACCACCTTGCCCAGATGCAAGTTTTGCATATTCCTTGGCTACCTTGTCTTTACAAACCAATTCATCGTAGAATCCTTGTAATTTAGTGAGTACTTCTGGCTGAAGCTGAAGTTTCTCTACATCACTTTCATCGTCATCATCCCCGGAATTGTGAACCAGGCCGGACAAAGTGTAAAAGACTGAAGGCTCAAACACTTCTCGATGCTCTAGAGGCATAGCTGTCCAGATCTTCCCTAGCTTACGGTTTCGAGCAGCCAATATTCCCTTATGTCCTTTGCCTGCAGGCACTGTATTTAGTGTGTGGAAAGATTAGCGTGATTAGCATGATTAGCGTGATTAGATCTTGATTAGATCTTGAATCTATATGTAGAGAGATGTACTTACTTCGGTAATCACGTCTTGCTTTGCTGTACTTTAAGAATATTTGATAGCGTCCGCCTTTGCGCCGGCCTCCAAGCTCACCCCTGAAAACGGGTTGTCAAAAACGCGAAGGCAAGAAATTTTCAAAAAGACCAAATTGAAGTAGGCCATTGCTATTTGCAGCCCACAAGAGAACCATGTAGGCGCTGCCAAAACAGCGCCTACATGGGTGTTTCCCACGAAAAAGCGCCTACATTTATGATGTAGGCGCTGAAAACCATCTAAAATGACGCCTACATGATAAACAACCCATGTAGGCGTCATTTGGTTACGCCTACATTCAAAAAATGAAATGTAGGCGTAATTTTCAAGCACCTACATATCTAATTTGAAATGTAGGCGCTATTTTTGAGCGCCTACATTCAATTTTCAGCTCAAATAAGCGCCTACATGCAGTCTTGCATATGTAGGCGCTCCAAATCCAACACCTACAACTCTAGACTGGTCTGACG